TATTAAAGACAGAAAAAAACTGGTATTTCATTTACAAGCTGCAAGCCTACATTGGGCCGGTTCTGTGCTATTCTCACCTATATCCAAACCATATGGCCCTGTTACTTGCTCTTTTAGTCTTACCCAGACTGCTTTTGTTCCACCAGTCTGTTCTCCAGATGCACTTCTCTCAGCCATGTGCTACTTTTCCATCCTATCTAACAGAAACCACCTGCCCTTTCCATCTTCTTTTTCTTCTCCTTCCCCTATCAACCTCCCCTCCATGGTCTCTCTCAAGACCCCTCACTCGATTGTCAGGTCCTGTCTTTCTCTCTCTACTTCCCAATCACAGGCTCTAGCTTTTTATTAACCAATTGCTTTAAATTGGGGAGCAAGGATTGCACAACAAACTTGAGGATTCACTACTCTCGATGGCTACCAGATCTTGGGGTTCAGGATTTATCATTTGTATATATAACAACAGACTAACCCCCAACAGCAGATTGGCTGGATCCATCCCCCTGGACTCTGAGCCTATCACAAACAGACAGTAGAGATGAAGCTGGAAAGGGGCCATATCTAGAAAGTTCTGTCCTCCTCAGTTGTGTGGTCATGATCCACATAAGGTTTCTTTGGTATACAATCACTGGCTATACTTCAAAGGTCTATCTGAGAAGACAACTTGAAAAATGCCTCCTGCTGCCCTTACACTGACTTCATTCAATTTCCTGACTTTTCTCAGCTAATCCTCAGCCTGTAATTTCCTAATGACTCTGTCTGCACTGCTCTGTGGTTCAGTAAAAGGCGCAGCTGGCCAAGATTGCCTGTGTGGGTTTGCAGCAGGGATGCTGTCAGCATTTCTTCTCTGGTTATGAAATACTGTCAAGGTTCCTCTGGGGGTCCAGTGTTTCTCTGAGATAAGCACTCTACTGTCAAGAACAGAGTTTGAGAAAGACACTAAGAAACCAGCCTAGAGAAAGCCTGTGCCCCACCCTTTCCTGGGGCAGGGTGAGGCTCACCCATGGATTTTTGTTTCCTTCTGGAATGGATTTATGAATAATGAAGAGGTCAGCATCCAGTATGTCCCTGCACTAGCCTGGGCTTTTCTGTACTCACTAAGCCTGGGTGATCTGACCTGACTATGGTGCTAAGTAAATGTTTGTCAAATATATCTATTAATTGCATGTCATAAAACTGTGTAATTGCTTACATGGAGCACTCTGCCCACACCTACTATTTCCAAATTAATGAGATTATGAGCCTTGGGCTGGCACACTGCATCCTAAGGACAGACTGGGAGAAGCTATGAGAAGTTATTCCTACCATTAGTGTTATTTAGTTGTGAAAAGGTACTCTTGCCCCCCCCCCATGGGCAAAAGATATCTCAGGCAAGAAGGCCTGTGACCAAATATATGATTCCAAGTTCAACAGTAAGTTGAAGAGGCAGTTGGATCCCTGAGCTCAACTCTGCTGTGCTGAGCTACCACACTGTTTTCTGTCTCTGCCTGCTGGAAATCTGCCCCCCAAGAAGGACCTAATGTCCATTCTACATCCATGATTCTTTTCTGTTCCCCCATTATCCCTAACCAGTACAAATGCAGAGAACCAAATTGTTCCATTGCACGTATCGATATTCATTTTTTTTTTTGGCAGTTACCCCTACCTACTTTCTTCAGAAGAATACACAATCATGCATAAGATTTAAAATTTAGTTCTACTACTCCCCAGTGTGCTGTGATCCTTCTGTGATCAGAATTCTACTGATTCCTTTAAGATATATGAATGACCCTAGCTACTACTTTCCAAACCTAACCACACCCATTCCTAAATTAATTAAATGAAAACTCAAGGCAATCCTTGAACACAAAAGCTGCTTGCAGCTCTACAATACCTGTGTCTGTTGTTACCAAGACAGTACAATCATCCCTGTGTATCTGCCAGCCCATAAGCCGCTCCAAAGTCCAGAACACCCAGTAGAGACACCACGCTCTTCTTACTACCCACACTCCTTACTTCTCTGACTGGAAAATGGTCTGCCACACTATTGAATAGGCTACCTACCATCATGGGAGGTTTGTATGTAGTTTGCAGAGCAATAACACAAAGAACTAAAAATATGACTCACAAAAGAATTAGTGTGTGCCAAGGATAAAGGACCAAGACAACAGGTGGTACTTGCCACAGTTTGATGTAGCGGTTTGTATAAGCAGGCCCCACATAGGCTCCACAGGCTTGTATATTTGAATGCTTACTCACCAGGAAGTGGTACTATTTGAAATGATTAAAAGGATTAGGAGGTGTGGCTTTGTTGGAGGGAGTATATCAATGGGGCTGGGTTTCAAAAGCCCATGCCAAGCCCAGAGTCTCTCCCTCAGTCTATGGATCAGGATGCAGCTCTAAGCTACTTCTCCAGCACCACACTTGGCTGCCACTATGCTCCCCACGATGGAGAAACTAAAAGTAATCCCTCAATTAAATGCTGTCTTTTATAAGAGTTGCCTTAGTCATGGTGTCCTCTCATAGCAGTAAAACTGTGGCTAAGACTGAAAGTTCATCACTGAAAGTTCACTAAACTATGAACCAATTTATAGGAAAGGTAAATAAGATTTAAAAGCAATCCTTGGCTTCCCTGGGTAGGAAAGGCAACTAACTATTCCTGTGTACAAAGGAATCTAAAGGACAAAGATCTATCTAAAGGCTCACACTATCCCTATGCCAGCACAATCTCAAAGGGATTACATACTGACATTGCCCTTCCTCACAGGGATACTGTCAGTGCAGATCACACAAGAGGGTATCCTGTGATTATATGCAGAACAGGTGTGGAAGCCCCCAAGGTTCCACATGCACGGATTTAACACAAGTAAAGACTGAGAGAGATATCAAGTCTCATGGAGGCGGATCCCGTGCTCACAGGAGCAGGAAAGGGACTCTTGATGATTCAATTTCTCCTTTGTCCTGAATATCACCGTTATCCACCTCATATCTCACTAGTATCCTCTTCTAAAATCTCCACACATAAATATCATGCTGCACATTCCCCTACCACTCTGCCTTCTAAGTGCTAACACGTAGTTACATATTTTAATATTTGATATTAAATATCTTAATATTTACTTAATATTTACATATTTTAACTCTGTAGTCCATCTGAGGGTATGAGAATTGATTCCCATGAGCCTAGGAAATAGGCTCTGTGGCCATCCAGTATCTGAGACTTCTATGAATTCCATTGTTTTCAGCAAAATCAGAAAATGCAAAAGTGAAAATGCTGATCCTCAAAGCTATCCCACCTTGAGTTGTATAGGCTCGCCCTGGCTGGCATAGTCCAGGGACATGCTCTGCTCTCCAAGGGGCTTTCAGAGAGGGAATGGCATAGCCACCTGGAAATCAAAGGCCAGCAGTGTGATTACTGATGCCTTTACCTGGCTCTCAGATCTGCTTAGAAGGCAAGAGCACCAACCTGCAGGAAGAGGATGCCAAAGAGAATAAGGCATGTTTCCCATGATTGCAGGATTCTAGAGAGTTGAGGTCCTCATCACCATCCTGTGGTTTCAAGTCAGGAGAATGGAGAAGAAAACAAAAACATAACTGCAACAGAAGAAGAGAGTAGTGTTACAGTGAAGAAAAAACAAAACAGTAACTTCAAATGCAGAGGGGACCCAGGACAACAGCCTAGACAATAAGAATAAGCAAAGAGCTCACTGAGAACACAGACGGTAAACATACTTCCTGGACTGAATCCCATCAGGATCCATTGGAAGCACAAGGCCTTTCTTCCTGCCACATGAAGAACCCCAAAGGTCATAGCTGGCCATGTTCTTCCACATCCCTTGTTCCAGAGGCAAAGCAGAGGTCTGAAGAGGCCCCAGACTGCCACAGGGAAAACACAGCAAATCTGGGACATTACAAATTAAAACACCCAGTCACCCGGTTTAAATGTTATGTTCTCTAGTGGCCCCAATCTACAGGAAGCACGAGTTTTTAAGAGTATCTTTTTAAATCACTGGTTTGTACTTTTAAAGTATGCTTTTCATGAATATCATCTCTTTTTCTTGATTATACCCTCTCATCCTTACAGAAGGAATCTGAGGGTTCTTTTTTATCAGGATGCTCCTTTTTCCAGCAAGTAATGACAAGTGCCCTAAAATAGAGGGGCAGCTCTGCCACCTCGTGGTTATCTGTGCTACTGCAACAACCAGAGCCATGAAGTTATGCTCAGCTTCATCAGAGGATGTCTGAACCCTAACCCAGGCCTACTAGGAAGTACGAGGGGAGCTCTCCAGTATACCTTCAACTTCTCAGGATCAGGACTACCCTGGCTTCTGTGTCAGCAGAGTGACATCTATCTTGAAATGCAGAATGGGGGCTTGAATTTGTGGCTTTTATTTTTCTAATTTCCCTTTTCAATTAACATATTTCCAACACATTGTGACATTTCAATGAATAAGCTCAGACTTATGTCAGGTTAGCATTTCCTTCTTATCATTTTCTCCTTCAAGTTCCTTGTTCTTCATAGAACATGAACTGGGCTCTTGTGAACTGTCACCTCACTGGGTACAGGACCTTATTTTTCCTGTACCTTCCAACCTCCCCCCGCCCAGTGCCCTTCATCCTTCTAGATATTCTAGTCTCTTCTATTTTGAGAGCTCCAAATCATAAACACCAGACTAGTCAAAATAAACTTTTTAAAATCTTTCTTCTTATAGAGAGAACAGGAGGGGTGTGTGTGTGTGTGTGTGTGTGTGTGTGTGTGTGTGTGTGTGTAAATTTTTCACTTATGCTTTCCATATTCGTTTTATATAGATGTCAGACTTTTGCCAGAACAAATGTTCCTTGGTCCTTAGAACATATCTGAACCCTTGTACAAGGGAAACCCAGTCAGAGAAGGACAGGAGCTGAGGATGAGATGGGACGGGGGGTTGAGTGGAAGAGGAATTTGTCCTCCAGTTGGGAGGAGGGTGATTTCACAGAGCAGTGTGAGACCTATGAGGGAAAACTGAGTCTCCTTAGAGGAGAGCATGGCAGGAGGAAGGGAAGCCTGCTCTACCAAGGTCTCCCCCAAGGCCCTGGAGACAAGGCCTGCGCTGGCAACAAGGTTAACGGGTGGTTCTAAGACTAGAGCCGTGAAGACAGACCTATGTACCGTCTCAGCATGCCTCACTTTAAGTTAATAGGCTGTATAAGGAGTGGGAAAGTACTTGTTTGAAAAGGCTAAGCATGAAAAACGGATACCAGACACATATCCACAGGCTTCTGAGCTCACTGTGGGGGAAAGGGGAGGGAGAGGGTTGGCCAAAGACCAGATGTGGCCTTAAATGCTGCCCAGTCAGAACTGAAGGCATTCACCACTGGCATACAGATAGAGACTAAACTTCTCAGGAAACAGCCTGCAAACACCACAAGGTATACAGCTTAGGGCATGGCGCGCGCACACATACACACACATACACACACACACACACACACACACACTGTTGCACACACACAGGGTGCACACACTGGCCAAGTGGAATTAGGCTGTATAAGAAGGATAGCTAAGCAAGATAGGGTGAGCAAGCCAGTGAGTGTTTCTCCCTGGTCTCTGCTTCAGTTCCTGCATTCAGGATCCTGCCTGGGATCCAAAACTTTGACTTCTCTTGACAATGGATCAAGGTGCAATAAACCTTTTCCTCTCTGAGTTGTTTTTGGCAATGATGTTTATCATAGCAACCGAGCACAAACTATGACAGTTATCAAGCACACAACACTGCTCATCAAGCTGAGGCAGGCTCACACACAATGCACTCTGGGCATGTAAATCCAAGTAACTTACACTTGGCACACCTTGAGGGACACCTACAACAGGCACAAGGCAACAGGACAGTACCAGAGTGAACATTTGCATATGGGTTTGGCAGATGACAAAGGAAACTGGGCTTTGGATGCCAATGCACACAGAGATGAGTAACAGTTGGGAACACAATAGGCCTCAGACGTAGATATCACAAAATGGAGGCACATGAGAGTACCACAAACTGGACACAGATGTTGGCTACAGGATACTGAACAAGCAATAGCAAGCATGCAACAACGTAGGTCACAAGGCGAGAACATAAGGCCATATACAGGCATGTGGGCACACAGCAGCAAGTGCCATGCTGTGCACTCAGCAGGAGTACAAACACTACAGCACACAAAGTTCATGTTGAACAATCAGGCAAGAGTAGAAAATGCCCTGAAAATGCTCTTATCTCTTGTGTCCAACAGCTAGCTATGCTGTCATGGCAGTGGTTCCTCAGCCTCAGATCCCCATGGAGATAGAACAGAGCTTTGACCAAGCCTCTGAGGCTCAAGGTTATTGGTTTCTCCTGCAGGTCTAAGCCATACAACCAGACTCCTCATCAGTTGAGGGGAATCTTTGAGTCATTTTTACTACAACAAATCATAGTGCTGTTTGACATCTTTTATGCCATAGTTTCCTGGATTACTGGGCCAAAGAGCCAAAGGGAGAGTTGGCTAGCTGTTTGCTGACAATTTCTATGAGGGTGTGCCATTTTGAATGTCTGGCAGCAAAAGCAGCTACAAAGCAAATCCAGAGAAGAACCATTAGGCTCAACAACCTTCTAGAAACTCGGAAACCAGAGAACAAACTTTATGTTTGGACTTGCTTTTTAAACCTTCAGCCATTAGGTGACGCCAAAGAGTAAGATATCTAATTGCATGCCTGCCATGGATGAAATTTCTAGGATTTAGCCCAAATAAAAATCATAGTGCCAGCATCAGACAGTGTGTTTGGCAGCTTTCAATGACTTTCTTACATCTCTCCCTGGTAGAAAATTCAACAACATGCCAGTTCCTATGCAGGTGTGGGTGTTGATTTCCCCCTAAGGCATAAGCTGCCTACAAAGCATCTGTATACTTGTAAGGAGAGAAGAAAAAAAAAAAAACCTAGAGCTTGGTAAATGCAGGGAGCCATGAATGAGGTCATCCAGCAGCCCCTGTTGTGCCAGGGGACCTGTAGCTCTACCATTTGCAGCCTCAGCTGCATGAGAGTCCCAGGCTTGCCAGACTGCCCTCGGTGGCTGTCCAGGGTGGTGAGCATGGTGTGACCCAACTACAGAGGGAGCCCCAACATCGGAATCACCTTTGTCTTGACATTGCTGAGGTTTGCTGTTTGTGTCTGTCCAAAATTCCTGCTAGTTTAGTTCCAATTGAAACAGTATTCACAAGTGGTGTCTGTGTGAGTGATTAAGCCCCCCTGGGATTGGATCAGTACCTTACAAAAGGGCTGGAGATATCCAGATAGATCCTTCTTTGCCTCTCTGCCTTTCACCTGTGCTGACACACTGTTAGCCCCTTATGCCGTGTGAGGGTGCAGTGAGATGGAACCAGAAAGAAAACCCTCACAGACTCTGAACCACAGAACAATGACCTCGAATTTCTCTGCTCCAAAACTGAGAAAATAGGGACTCCGGAGCGCAGCGGGCACCCGGAGCTCCCCATCACCTCCTTCGACTGCTCCGTGTGCCTGGAGGTGCTACACCAGCCGTTCCGGACTCGCTGTGGCCACGTGTTCTGCCGATCTTGCATTGCGACCAGTATAAAGAACAATAATAAATGGACATGCCCATACTGCCGAGCATACCTTCCTTCAGAGGGAGTGCCTGCAACTGACATAGCCAAGAGGATGAAGTCAGAATACCAGAACTGTACCGAGTGTGGAACTCTGCTCCCCCACTTTGGGGACAGGGTCTCATTCTCCAGTCCAGTGTGGACTTGAACTTGCTGTCTCCTGCCTCTACCTTGGAAGTGTCAGGATTGCATACATGCCCCACTGCATCAGCACCTTTAGTATTTGTTTGCCTCAGTGACATGCGGGCGCACATAAGGACATGTGAGAAGTACATCGATAAATATGGCCCACTGCAAGAACTCGGCGAAACCACAGCAAGATGTGCATGTCCATTTTGTGAGAGGGAACTGGATGAAGACTGCTTGCTGGATCATTGTATTATCCATCATAGATCCGAACGGAGGCCTGTGTTCTGTCCGATTTGCCGTTCACGACCTAATGAAAGCCCAAGTACCTCCAATGGCAGTTTGATTAGACATTTGCAAGTCAATCACACTTTCTCTTTAGATGATTTTATAGATATTCGTATAATTGAGGAAGCCATTATTCACAGAGTGTTAGACCGCTCACTTCTTGAATATGTGAATCAGTCAAACACCACATAATTTTATGAATAGGAATGGGACCATTCACTTGTACCATTTAAGATGCTGCTTGAAGGACTGGAAGAAAACTGTCAATGTTTGATGGAGAAACATGTACTACAGTGTTATACACTTGTCTTTGTTACATTATATTCAAAAACTGTTTTCATTCTGGTTTAGATCTGCCTTTACATTCTTGAGTTTATTAGACATTTAACCACAAGAAACAGCCTCCATCAGCCATTACCAGATGGAAGAGATACAACACAGGCTGGCTATGTGAAGGAGGAGCTTCGTGTGTACATTAGTAATGCTGTGTATAATGCTACATATTCCCAATTATGGTTAAACGAGAAAGCCGATCTCTGTTTTATGTAAGGAAACGGAGAAAGGAACAAAATATGGACATTAAAGGAAATCTGAAATTTATTCAAATTTTCATGCTCTAATCTCCAATAAAGATCATGAATAATCTTATGAGAAAAAAAAAAACAGAAAATAAACTCTTGCTGTTTATAAATTAATGTTTGAGGTACTTTATTATAGCAGCACAAAGAAGACAGGTGCCTATTTGACTGCTTTTACATTCAGGTTGAAGTTTCCTCATTCTTGGTTTGATACGTGGTTTTGAATTAAAATTTGAGATACTACATATACCAAACTGAATCTTTTTTTTTTCATGTTATCTGGCCTTCTGTAGCTCCTATGGATGGGCTCAGCCTCAGTCCTATTCAGTGGGAAGCGAGGCTGGATTCCTACTGTTCCCTGCTGACACCCAGTGAGATGGGCTACTCTCACACTGCATCTTCTAACACCATCACGTTAGAGAAAAGGAAAAGCAAGACACCTCTTTACCGATCCTCATGAGGCCTCCACTAGCTGACAGTAGATAGAGCTTAATTAGCACTGATCATTCGTAAAGATTATTTTTCCCATGAGGCATTGTCTGCTACCCACATGTGTGAAAATCAGCTGAGTTGTCATGTTACAATTTGGCAAGGCTGGAAATCTCCTAGCTGGTTGTCTCTGGCACTCATAGGTGGAGTATTTATGCAGTGTGGGGGGTTGGTCTGGTGCTACTATGTATTCGAATGCTAAATACTGGCCCCCAAGAACTAGATGCCCCGATGAGGAGATCTTCACATACATCAAACACTAGGTAACCACCCCCAAGTTATCCCTTATTGTTTAATAAAGCAATAAATAAATAATTAAGCCTGAGATGGGAAGAAGAGAGGGGCTGGAGCAAAGGTTCCTGGAGCTTCAGGTCAGGCAGGGACCATAAGGTGAATGAAAGAGAGGAAGAGGTCACCACCATGGGGTAGCATGGATCGTAGGCACATGGCCATGAGTGCTGGCCTGATGGAGCAGGAGCAGCCCAACGGAAACGCGGCAAGTGATATCGCAGGGACTTTGACAGGGAGACATAAAATAGCATAGATATCTACCCAGCTCGAATGCCCTAAAGCTTATTATAAATCTAAAGATCTCAGCGTCTTTTACTTCGGAACTAAGTTCTCTGAACTGGGGTAGAAACCCTTAATAGATATTTAAAGGCAACAAGGGGGTGCAGCAAACCCCCAAAATAATATTAACCACAACAGTGCAATTTGCTCAAAAAATACTCTCTGCTTTTCTGATTGCAGAAAACTGACCTCCAGTGTGTGCTGTCTTGTTGATATTTTGGGGGTGCTGGCTTCCTGGCACTCACTGTAGGGTGCAAAGTGAAAAGAAAACCTCAGGAACTGTCGCAAGCTCCTTCCTCAGGACACAAGTTCCTTAGCCTGCCTGCTGTTTTCATAACTGCCACAGTTTTCATATTTTATTTCAGTGCAGTGTTCAAGGTGTCTTATGTGTACCAGGTGGGGGAACCAAGAAAAGTACTCTTCATCTTTATGGAAGCAGAAATGGCCATCAAAATAATTTTTATGTGTGATGTGTTATTCAGTTCATTGTGTATTCATAATTTTGCTGTTTTAAAACTGTGGCTTAAGTTTTATGTTATTGGACATTAAATTAGCCTACATAGTAGAGTGTTTTGTGCTGTTTTGTTGTTTTGCTTTGGGTTCTTAAATGTTTTTTAATTAATTATATTTTCTCTTTCAGGTGGGTTGTTATGGTGCACACCCTTAATCTCAGCACTCAGGAACCAGAAGCAGATAACCACCGTGAGTTCCAGGTCAGCCCAGTCTACATAATGAATTTCAGGCCAACCAAGGATACACAGTGAGTTTCAGGCTAGCCAGAACTACACAATGAAGTCCTATCACAGACAATGTATTTTTTCCATTTTCATCTATAAAATGCCTGCATTTCTCTCTTCTCCTTCCCCTATTATCACTCCTTTCTACAAGCCCCTTTCCTTTCTATTCCTACATGCATATCTTTTTGCTTGGTTCTATGACCTACTGAATTTAATCAAGGACCTTTGAGTAAGCATGGAACTACCCATTGCAGTGTGCTGGACTCATCAATGGCTATACAACTGAAGCTCCCAGTCTCCTAGACTCTTTCAGCCAAAGGAAGTGATAGGGACCCATAAGCCCCTCCCCTGTCCATAAGAGTTTGTTGACAGGGCCAGTCTTAGACTCTCAGTCTAAGTTCAGTATTGCAATGGCTGCATAATACCCAGAGGATGGCAGTTAGCAGCCCTTCTCCCATATTCCCAATTCTCATATTCTCTCTACCCCCTCTTCTTCAATTTTCCTGAACCTCAAAAGGAGTAACAAATATTGTGTGTAGGTCTGAGCACCCTTCTTGCTTATTCTCAGCACCACAAGAAGCCATGAGTTTTTACTCACTGCCATTCAGTTGACAGAAAAGAGAGGCTTCTCTTCTTAAGACTGAAGAGTATAAAGTCAAATATTTGGAAGGCAGTTTGACACTATGTCAGTTTAAATAAGCAACAGTCGTAAGTTCCCTCTGGGGCCTATGACTTCTCCAGTCACCTTTTAGCTTAGTTTATAACATCATGAACAGGTTTCTTCCTGTGAATAAAGTCTCAAATCTAAACAATTTGTTATCCCCCTAACAGTGGTGCCACGGTTGCAAAAGTGAGCACATCTTGCCTGGCAAGTTGGTATTGAAGTACTTAGGTGCGCATGTGCGAGTGCGTGTGCGTGTGCACGTGTGCATGTGTGTGTGTTAAGTTATCTTAATCAGTAATATTAATCAGTAGGTTTGTTGAGTAACTAAAAGGAATAACCAGATTGTTTCGGGGTCTTCCAAGAGCTCACTGACCAACAACTCATATAGATAGTACTTGAATTTTTGTTTGATATATTTCTTTTTTTTTTTTTTTGGTCTTCCTTTTTTTTTATTGGATGTTTTATTTACATTTCCTATGTTGTCACCTTACCCCATCCCCCACCCACCCAGGAACCCCCAATCCCCTCACCCCTCCTCCTTCTTCTCTGTGGATGTAACCTCTATCTACCCCCCCACTCCCACCTCCCCACCCTCAAAATTCCCACCCCCTGGGGCATCCAGCCTTTATGCGGTCAAGGTTCTCTTCTTCCACCTATGCCCAGCAGGGCCCTCCACTCTTACATATTCAACAGAAGCGCTGCATCCCTCCCTAAGTGCTCCCAGGCTGGTGGTTTAGACCCTGGGAGCTGTGGTTGGTTGGTATTGTTGCTCTCCTCATGGTGCCACAAACCCTTTCAGCTCCTTCAGTCCTCACTCTAACTCCTCTATTGAGAACCTCATGATCAGTTCAATGGCTAGTTGTGAGCATCTGCCTCTGAGTATGTCAGACTCTTGAAGACCTCTGAGGAGATATCCATATTTCTAATTGGTATATTTAAACAATTTGCATTCAGTGAAATTGCTAACATGTGAAGGCTGAAGTCTGCCTTTCTGCTTTCTATTTTACCAATTCCTCTGCTTTCTTTTTCCAGCTTTCCCTTGCTTATTTTTTCAGTCCCACATAGATTAATCTATACTGCTTTGAGTATATTTTTTCTATAGAGAGTCTTAGCCCTAAGTAATGCATATCACAGTATGTATTTATGTAGTTAATGAAAAAAGTTGCCAATGTGTCTATGCTTCTCATACATTATTATGAATATGTAAGTGTCCCTTTGCTTGTTTGCTTATTGGATTTTTCCTGTTTCTTTGTTTTATTTTAAACCAAAGTCTTCCTGTGTAGTCAAGGCTGGCCTCCAACCCACAGTACTCCTCCTCATTCTCCTGGATGCTAATATCACACATGTGCTGCATCGTGCCTGTCGTCTTAACTGGAGGAATTCTCACTGAGAGATGTCTCTTTTCTCTACTTACTAAGGATCGTATGGCTCAAATGAGACTCTGTTTTCACGGTACCCATATTCTGAAGTACACACCATCCTGACAGCCTCTATCAAGTGTCTTGGTTTTCTTGCCTCACTGGGGGAGTTATTTCCAGTTTGAACATGGAAGCTTTCCTCATGACATCCTTCTATTGAAGTGCAATACCAGGAGAAGTTTCAAGTTAGATATCGATATTTTAAAAGCCAGAATAATGAGAATCACGTGAGTGATTTCCAGGTTGTCCCCAAGTGGCTCAGATGGAACTGTAATGCCTCAGCAGCAGCAAATAGGTTATGATACACAGTAGCAGCTGGCAAGGTGTGTAGAATCTGGACCTACACAGCATCCCCAGCCTGGTCTGGAAAATCATGACAAAAGTTGTGAGAAACTTGACAAAACACTGTTTTTCTCTGTGAGAACGTAGAAAAGAAACAGTTTTGCAGTTTCTTGCTGCAGGTGCTTCCTGAAGAAGGTGGGATTGGGAGAGGTCCACCAGTATCTTGTTCTATCATTGTCTTCACCAGAGCACTGCCTTTATTGTGCATACTGGTTTTTTTCTAGAACATAAAAGGAGACCAATGTAGCAAAGGCACTAACTGCATGAGTTAATCATCATAAGATTAAATTTTAAAGGAACGTGACTCATGTGGCTGATTATGTTGGAAACTGGTTGCATGGTTCTCCCTAATGTGTGCAGAGATAAAAGTTGAGTCTGCTGCTGATTCTACTCCCAATGTGGTATCTGTCCCATAGGACATAATGAAGAAAACCCATCAGCATGAAATATGAGGATCAAAAATGCAGCAAGCAGATCCTTTGGCACCACATAAAAGCTAGG